TTTAGTGAAAAATAAAGCGGCTGTTCTATTTCCCCCTTTCGCACCAAATTCCACTCCCTCTTCTTAATTTGACATCTGACTCTCACTTTCTCCAATTCAATCAATATGTTTGGACTAAGACTTTATATGGATTGATTCTATTCTTCTAAATTTAGTTGTATTTTTTTTTAATGTTGTGAATTAGGGAATAGAAACTGGGTTATGCCTGAGTGAACATAGAGTAAATTCGTTTGATTCGATAACCAAATTACCAATTGAACACGGTTACGAGTATTCATCCATGGCAATTGCTCACTAATTGATATATGAAATGTAAAAACTTAGTTTCTCCATATCATTGTTGTGATGGTAAGAATATATTGGACTCTTCAAATAGATTGATGGATGAATAATTTATTTTTATTGTGTTCTTGAGCTATAACTTTCCAACTTCAGAAATAGTTAATTTGATTTGAGGATAAAAAATCATTCTAGAGATTTAAAGAATCGAAGAAAAAGCAAAATGGGTCAAGGTTTTTTTACTGTGATATTTTTCTTTTCATAATTGTACAAGACAGCCAAATGAATAAGGAATAACAATCATCTGTAAAGGATTGGAATAAAGTAATGTGCTTGTGGAAGCTCTTTCTTTCAATGTGTGTTTAATTTCATGTATCTTACAATAGGATGATAACCAATATATCATTGTCGATTTTCTACTTGATGATAGGTATGGAGAAACAAGCACTTTGAAGGACTCCTTAAAATGGCTATGTCGGTGAGTTGACTTCCACTAGTGAGATAAATACTTTACACATGTCTCTTTATTTTTATTTGCAAAAACTACTATTCATAAGTATTCTGCAAATAACATATTAAAACAAGAACATAATTACTACCCATAAGAAAAGAATCAATAATCCCAAGGTAGAATCAAAGAAGAGTAAACTAAAACCAACTTGTGTTTATCTTCAGCTAAGCATGTTCAAACACGATGGACCGTGAGCCACGTCGACTGGTTTTGGGAAAGGAGTGAAAAGAAGACTGTATAGTTGAATGAAGCATAATCTAATTTTAAAATACTTTTGGATGAACCTGATATCAGATATGATATTATATATTCATAGTCATTCCATAACAACTTTCATTTTCTCAATAATTTGGTTTGCTTCTTCCTTAGATTACTACTCCCTTCTTCAAAACAACAAGAGTTTTGTTTCCTTGTGTCCCCAATCAGTTTAACTACGGACTCTTTGATTATCTTTATTTTTTGAAAATTATTAGTAGGATTAGAATATTATGATATATATATATATATATTCTTTTTTATTTTTACAAGTAAAGATATATGTAGAAGTCTTTAGGTTTTTGACAGTAAATATCTAGTATATCAATCATAAATCTGACCTTTATGAATTTATATAATTTTTAATTTAAATATTTGTTGATACTTCTAAACGAAATAAGTATTGTGTACAAATTGTTGCTAAAGGTGTATGGAAAGTAATTGATCTATTGCAGTAAATATTGGTGTCACAAAAAGTTTTTTCTAATAAATTACTAACTAACTTTTCTTAAGTTTTTCCAACAACTAATATTGTTGGTAAATAAATTAATTTATGGCAACATTAAATTTTGATGCGAAAATTTTTATAAGCCACCATTATAGAAATGTAAGGCAACAATATTTTGGGTTGCATGGAGTCATTTTTAGCAGTAACATATTTTGTTGTTGCAAAAGCTTTTCCAATCAGCATTTATTGCAACAACTTTTTTATTGTTGTAAAAAATACTTTTGGCAATAACATCCAATATGTGGCAACAAAAACTTTTGTTGGGAAATGTAGTTTTTCTTGTAGTGGTTTACAAGGTATATACATTGAAATTTATTGGAACATTACCCAATCTTCGCTTAAATTAGTGTATCATACATGTCCTATTCAACCAAGAAATCTTTCAAATTTATTCATAAACTTTTATCGAAATTTTGGTAAGCGAGGTGAGTTATTAAGGATACAAAAGTGATGAAATTATTGTTGGACAAACGATTTCTTTTGTGAATATTTGAGTTCATCGAAAATTCAATAAATTTTGATTCAAGATTGTCAAAAATTTGAAATTCAAAATTCTTCTCCCAGTTCATTGTAGATCCTTTAAGTTTTGATTCAAAATTGTTGAAAATTTTGAGTTTCAAAATCATTCTTCTATTTCATTGAAGATCATTTCAATTTTGATTCAAAATTATCGAAAATTTTGAGAAAATACATCATGAAAGATTCGTTCAATTTAAATTGATAAGTGTTGTTCTTCTAGATACATTAAATAAGAAAGTGTTGCCCATAAAATTTTTTAGATTTGAGATCGATAAGTTATTGTTTGGTAATTGTTATGTATCAGATGTAGTATGAATTTGAATTTACATATCATGCCTAAAGAATTAATGCATGATACATTATTATTTATGTATCTTATTTTTTTTGAGTAATACTATATTTTATTTTATTTTTAAAAAAACATTAATATGTAATTGTTACAAATAACATATTTTTTTGTGTGTGATACATTACAAAAGTTTATATCAAGTATATTTGTATTGAACATGATAAATGTTAATCACAGATTCAACAACTTTAGAGTTATGTATCAATACTTTAAATATGAACATGATACATTGCATAACATAAAAGTTATTATAGCAGTGATGTGTTGAATCAGTACTAACACTAAAAAGACTAATTCAAGAATCTAAATAAGCGATAAACATTGAAAGTAAGCTGAAATAATTGAAAGATCGATCCAATGGAATGAAGTATATCAATACCGTTATTAGAAATTCCTAGAATCATTTCAAATGCATTCCAAGATGAACTATGTGGGTTAGCAAGGTTTTTCTATCTCTCTTCCGTAAAGAGACCGGAAGTAAAAGATTCAGTAATATTTTAAGATACTTTTTTAAAAAACACTAAAAGAAATCGAAAAGTGAAGTGATTGAAAAAAATCTACATCTTGAATAACTTGATTGGAAAGAAAAAATATTTGAAATTCAAATGTAGGTTAATGTAAGTAACTATGTTGAGAGAATTCTGGAGTGAAAAAGAAAGAACAATCATGGATTAATGTATCCTAAAAAATAATGATGAGAACAAAAAAGTGAGATTTTTGAATATTTTTTTAAGTGGTAGAAAATATAAGAAAATATGATAATAGATAATTTTTCAACAAAAAGATGCAACGCGATTAAAAAAATAGCCAAAGAGATTTTGGGATAAAGAGGTTGTTGTTGCCCACAAGAAAAGAAACGAACAAGTCCCTTGTCTCTCTTTCTGTGAAAGCGCACGATGAATTTCAATATCAAGAAACTAGTTAATGAAGAAGAAGTGGAACCCCTATTGTTGTCATTTGTCAATATGGATTTCAAGGTATTTTATTTCTTTGACATGATTATTTATGCATTATCGGGTTAAATTAAAATGATAGTAACAAACTTCATATTAACTTTAGTACCCGAGAATGACAAATTTTATTCTTCTAATGCCAAAATATATTACTAGAATCACTAGTTGAGTTACATAGTGATGCTAAAATGTGAGTGAGGACGAGCTCTACTCAAAGATTGTGTTTAATAAATATGATTATGGTTGACCTTTTAAATATAATATTATTAGTGCTAAGACACAGAAAAATAAAAGACTAGATGTAATATCTTTTCATGAATTACAATAAATTTGTATAACAGAGAATTAAAGATCATATTTGGAAAAATTTGAAAATTTTCTTAAATTGACATAATCGAACCCATTATATGATCATTTACGATTTGATATATAGGTTGGTTTTGTAACAATATAGGTTGTTGGAAGAAGCTAAACTTAGTGGTCGAGGTGACATACTTTATTTTTCAACACCAGTATTGTGAGAATGACAACATTATGGAGATAAAAAAAAATAGAAATTTAGAGATAAATTGATATTATTGCGTGTCAATTAAATCATTCGTGGATATTATGTATTTTGACTTGTAGTTGTTATTTGTAGTGTTGCAAATTTTCAAGACAGGAAAAATTCAGAATAGGCGCAAAAAAATAAAGAAAACTTTGTTCGATTTTTTGTAGAATTACGGTAAGGCTACTTTAGGATTCTCTCCTTAGCGCCGGTCATGGACCACAATTGGGTAGTCACAGGCTTTTACATTACAAATTTCAAATCAAAAGATTGAAATTTTAAATGATGACTAAAATTTAAATATGTCTATTTTTGAAATAGAGGTTTTTCAAGTGGCTCTATGTACAATTTATGATGAACTACTAGGCCCAAGTGGATTTGAAACTCAAGGCCCAAATTGCTTTTAACGGGTCGAATGGACCAACCCATTTATCTATTTCTCCCCAATTTCATGTTACTCTTTCCAGCGGCGAAATCGTACTCTCAGTTTCTCTCTTCGCTGAAGTCCGGTGAATCTGCTCAGTCTCTCCGGCGAAATTCAAAGTATCTCTTGTTCTCGTTGAGCCAAATAATCTACAAAATACATGGAGATTGTTCGAAGCTGCTACTGCTCTCCTCCTCCTCTTCTCTATGTTATCTTCCATGCTTCCATCATACACCTTTCAAGAAAGTTTCCACTTTGTTGCTTGTACTTTTTAAAAATATCGACAAGCGTGTGTCGATAGGGGTGGACAGTTTGTATTTCGGTTCGATTTTAATTTTTTGGATTTTTGGTTCTTGTAAAATGTGTACCGAATATCGAACTAAAATATTTTGGTTCAATTCAGTTTTTATTATTTTGATTCGGTTTTTAGTAATTCGATTCGGCTTTTTTATTTTGGTTTTTTAATGAGCCTACTTAGTGGTCTTTTTAAATTTTTAAACTTAACAAGTTTTTTGTTTGATTTTTCAACTTAATGGGCTAAAAATAGACAATAGTTACATCAAAGAAGTGCATTGTAATTACATCAAAGAAGTGCATTACTACCAAATATAAATATATCAATATGACATTAGGCATTAACACCACAAATTTTAAATTCATAATGTCACTAAAACACACAATTTTTAATTAACAATATCACTAAAACAAAAGTGCATTGTAGTTAATGTCTTCACAAATACCACATAATAACAATCTAACAAGTAACAATACAGTCTTCCATGAGAGTTGAGACCACTTTCAAGTTTCAACTTTCGAGAATTCTAGTGCCAACATAATAAACAATAATGAGCAACAAACAATGTATTTTAAACTTCTTGTTTTCTTCCATAAGATCACGTTCAATTCAAATGTAAACAATAACAAACAAAAATAGTGAGTTTTCTTGACCTTCTTCCATGAGACCGCTTTCAACTTTCAAGTGTCACATGCCAACAAAATTACTAATAAAACTTAGTACTGTACGTCTTCTTCATTGTCTTGACTCTTGGACCTTTTAAGATAAAATCAAATGTTATAATACTACTTTTAAGATTAAAAAATGATATGATTAAATAAATGATGTATTGAACTCACCCCTTGCAAGTCAATCATATATCAACAGTGGAAGAGTTTCTTCCACTATTTTCCATCTCTATAAATAAGAAAAACAAACATGTCATACAAGATACAACACAAAAAGTATTTTATTTTTTCCAAAAATAAATAAAAATTAAAAAATCTTATCAAGTTCAATTTTTTCAAGAAACTCCAAACTTTCTTCAACACAAATAGACTTAGTTTCTTATCTAAATCAATCTTGGACACAAATAAGACATTGCACACATTTGGGAGTCAATAAACTTCTAAAGGGATCTAGAATACGATCACCGGTGCTAAATGCACATTCCCATGACACACTCGACATAGGAATAGCCCATACATCTCGAGCCAACTGTGAAATTATAGGAAATCTAGGAGAATTAACTTTTCACCAACTCAAACTATCAAAATCTCCAGATTCAGGCTCTTGGTCTTCAAGAAGATATTTATCCAACTCAGATTTAACACCTAAACTTCCAGAATCTTGCTTTTGTTTCTTCAAGAGCAACTTAGTTCTAAAAGAATTTTTGGACACATTTTGAGAAATACCACAAGCAAAAGAATCAGATGAGTCAGATGAAGATGGTTGGTTTTTAGAATATTTTTCATACTTACTTATATATATCACAAACAAATCCCTCAAGTAAGCCTCTACTTTCGTATTCACTACATTTTTTGTTTCTTCCCCAAGTAAATTTTCAAGAGCAAAACTAACATACACAAATTTATTGCGAGGATCCAAAACAGAAGCAATAAAAATCATTTTGTTCATTTTTTTCAAGATTACCCCAATATTTCTTGATTTTTTCATTCATTCCTGAAGCCATTTTACTCAAATCAAGGTCATCACTTGCTATACATAATTTCAAATAAGCATCAAGTTCACATATATGCTCAAAATGAACATTGCAAGTAACAGAAGCAATAAAAAATTTCAAGAGCAAAACTAACATACACAAATTTATTGCGAGGATCCAAAACAGAAGCAATAAAAATCATTTTGTTCATTTTTTCAAGAGTACCCCAATATTTCTTGATTTTTTCTTTCATTCCTGAAGCCATTTTACTCAAATCAAGGTCATCACTTGATATACATAATTTCAAATAAGCATCAAGTTCACATATATCCTCAAAATGAACATTGCAAGTAACATACCGTGAACCTGAAACATTCAAAGTGAGCTCATAAAATTTTTCAAGAAACTTTGTAACATTCCTCATATTATTCCAATCTTCATATTGAATTGAACATGCTATAGTTCCACCTGCACAAACATCAGTAGCAAGAAAAGAATTAAAATTACCATCATAAAGATCAAACCTCTCAAAAGCCTTCTCAAACTTTTCTGCTGTGTCAAACATCAAATAGGTGGAATTCCACCTAGTAGGAACATCTAAAGACAACATCTTATCACATTCTATATTTTGCATTTCAACACTTTTCAAGAAGTTTCTTGTCCTTGAAGAAGATGATCTAACATATTTCACCATTTGTCTCACCAGTTTGATAGAAGTACCAATTTCTTTCAAATCATATTGCACAATTAAATTAAGTATATGAGTCATACATATCACATGGAGATTATTACCTTCCATCATATTAGTTTCCCACATATCTAATTTTTTGGACAACTCCAAAACTGCCACATTATAAGAAGAGGCATTATCAACCGTAACAATAAAAACATTATCCAACTTCCAATCAAGTAAACAATTATTAATAGACTCAGTCAAATACTCACCTTTATGACTATCTATAGGACAAAAATTTAATATTCTTTTATGAAGCACCAAATCCCTATCAATAAAGTGAGCAGTCAAACACATATAATTGATTCTTTGCATTGAAGTCCATGTGTCTATTGTGAGACAAATTCTTAGTTGTACTTCTCTTAAAGATTGTTTCAAATTTATTTTCAATTCACCAAAAACTTCATAACAATCCCTTGTTATGGTTCTACGAGAAGGAATATGAAACAAAGGTTGACTCATAAGCTTCTTAAAGCCTTCTTTTTCAACAAAACTATAAGGTAGTTCATCCAAAATTATCATTTCAACTAAATCTCTCCTACATACGTCTTGCTCAAATTTCCAAGTGTTTAAACTTTTAGTTTGAATATTTAATAATTCTTTAATACCAGATGCAACAGTCGGGGGCTTATACACTTTACACCAATAAGTCAAATGTAGTTTTAGTCCAGTTGTTCCATTTCTACTTGTATTGGCAGCATAGTATTGTTTACAATGTAAACACTTTGCTTTAACTAATACACCAATTTCAAAAATCTTTTCAAAGTGTTGCCAAACAGGAGATCTAGGATCCATTTCTTTTTTTTTTTGTTATTTCTGTTCCAATTGACGGGTCATTGCTATTAATAGGGGTATTATTCGTAGATTCAGCCATACTTATTTGACTTTGATCAGCTACACCCATATTTAATTGATTTTGTTCAGCCATCTATATTAAAAACAATTATTTCACAACAAATTCACACTAAGCAAATATCAGAAAGAAAAAATGAAAGAACAATAAAGAAAAACAAACCTGATTAGTGGTCAGCTGGTCGCCGGTCGCTGGTCGCCGGTCGCTGGTCGCCGGTTGCTGGCCGTCTGAAGACTCTGAACTCGCTGACGGCTAGCCTCTGAGTTCACTGCCCGTCTTAACTCGCTGCCCGCTTCTTGAAAGAATGAAGAATGAATAAAATTGAAAGGAACTTGGAAGTATGGAACATGGAAGAATGAATTGAGGAAGATGAATTATTCTCACTTTTCATATTAGGGTTTCTATTTTCTATAAAGTAGTATAAAGTAAAAGTAAAAGTACTAAAGTATAAAAGACAAAGTTAAAAAAGTTAAAATAACTTTTACTTTTCACTTTTCAGATATTTTTTTTTAAAAAAAAATTATTTAACATAAACAATCAATATAATATAAATACATAATATCATATAATATTTTGGTTTAAATTGAAATACCGAAAACCAAAAAAATACGTACCAAAAGCCGAACAAAAATACCAAAAAATATAAAAATATAAATTGAATACCGAAAACTGAAATACTGAAACTGAAATATCAAAAAAATTTAATTCAGTTCGGTGTTTCAGTTTTTCGATATTTATGCCCACCCTTATGTATCGATACTCCAAAACTAGTGCATTTTTGGAGTTAATGGGTATAAGCAATAGTTCTCTGTTGTGCTAATTACAGCAAATATGAATATATACATGGTCTATTCTCTAACGGGGTCAGTTTTATTGATTCACTATTTTAAGTCAGTAACTTCATTGGGACAACAAGTCAAAATTGTGTAAATATATAATATAAGCTCCATTATTCTCTTTATTGCTTTAGAAATAGTTTCTTTAGCATTTGACTTGTTTGGTGTTTTCTTATTGGGTTCATTGTTAACAGCTTGTTTGGATGATTGTCACTATTTGTATTGTTTTTCTAATTCATCCTTAGGTAACAACTTAAAATCTCATTTTGTGTAACAATTAATTTGGTGTCCTTCAGTTTAAAAAAAAATAACATAGCAGTGTGATCTCACAAGTGGACTCTGGACAAGTAAGCTTCTTTGCTAATTTATAAGATAAAAACAAGCTTCTTACTTATGCAACCATCACACTCTTTCCTGAATTAACAACTGATTGATTCTGGTTTGCAAAGAAAAAAAAATGTTTGACCGGTCATATAGTAATTCTAATGTGCGTATGCTTATCATTCTAAAAAAATCTGATTATAATGTAGTTCGTTAAATGTGATACCACATTTTGAACCTTTTTTCACTCACTACATAGGAATGGAAAAGTTGTCATTTCAAGAAATGACAATCTTAGTTTTGTTGGAACAACTAGTGCTACTTTTTGGTTGCACAAACAGGCTGGTAAGAAGAGTATCTACATCTTGTCAGGATCAATAGTGTCATGTTTGTGTTGAGGTCAATATTGCCATGTCACAGAGACAAGTAAGAACAATGTGATGTAATTTTTATCTTATGGATCTGTATCATATTACTGCAAGCATTTATCTAAATCATTCTTGTTTGATTAAAGATGTGGCAAGACATTTATCTAACATTGCTTAGATTTTATTTGCGGATATTAATTTGTATTTCTAAGACAATCTTCAACCAGCCTCTATATTACTCTTCATTATATATATTTGGAGAGTAAAATAAAAATGGACTCTCCAACCACACTTTAATTGTCTCTCTATTGTCCATTTAGAGAGAGGTTGGAGAACTAATAATCACCTCTTTATTTTACTTTGTGGTTATTTTATTATTATTATTTTTTTATAATTAACATATTATTTTTCATATAAGTCCATTAATTAAATCTTAATATACACTATTCTTTTTAAATGTAATATAACGTTTTAAAAAACACTATTATTTAATATATATTATTTTCATCAGAAATTAAATATTTCAACTTTTTTAAATTTTCATCACTTTAATATAATTTGATATTATAAATAATTTTCACTATGAAGAATCCACAAAATTAAAATGATAAGATGAAAATTTCCATTCGAATATACAATGCATAACATAATAATTTAAATGCATGGATATATGATAGTATTCTTTCAGACTTTTTGGGCCTTGTTTAAGGAAGAAATCACAAATACAATTCAAAATTTCATTCTAATTAGATTTTTTAGAAGAGATTTAATGCAACCTTTATTTATTTAATCCCAAAAAAAATGGAGCGTCAGAGTCGAAGGATTTCAGGCCAATCAGCCTGGTGGGGGGAGTCTACAAGATCATTGCTAGATTGTTGGTTGAAAGTCTAAAAAAAGTGGTATTAAAATTGATCAACAGCCATTAAATGACTTTTATAAAGGGGAGGCAAATCATGGATGCAACACTCATTGCTAGTGAATGCATTGACTCAAGAATGAAAGGAGGAGCCCCTGGTTTAATGTGCAAATTAGATATTCAGAAAGACTATGAACATGTGAATTGGTCTTTCCTTCTGAATACTCTCAGACAAATGGGATTTGGCAGTAAATAGATAAAGTGGATTGAGGTCTGTATAAAAAAATCAAGTTTTATGTCCTTGTGAATGGGAAACAGTGGGTTTTTTCGAATCAGAAAAAGGGTCGAGATAGGATGATCCTCTTTCCCCTTTTTTATTTATTTTGGCAATGGAAGTCTTTGATAGTATGATGAGGATTGAAACTCAAAATAGATGGATTAGAGGCTTTCAGGTCAGAGATAGAGTAGGGGAGGAAAAAGAAATGTGGCATCTGCTCTATGCGGATGATACTATAATCTTTTGTGAACCTACAACAGAACAAATTATCTACATCAGAGTGATTTTGGTTTTGTTTGAAGCAGTTTCAAGGTTGAAAGTAAATAGGGGGAAAAGTAGTCTCTTCTCGGTAAATGAGGTCCCTCAGATCCAGCAACTAGTAAACATACTGGGATGCAAAGTGGATAATTTGCCTACCATATACCTGGGCATGCCCCTGGATAGCAAACACAAAACAATGGAGATATGGAATGGTATTTTGGTGAAAACAGAGAAGAAACTTGCTAGATGGAAGTCACAATACCTATATCTAAGGGGTAGATTGATCCACATAAACTCCGTTATGGACTCTTTACCAACCTATATGATGTCCCTATTTCCAATCCCAACAAAGGTGGTGAAAAACTAGACAAACTTAGAAGGAACTTCCTATGGAAAAGCAATAAGGAGGAAAAGGGTTATAACTTAATCAACTGGAAGAATGTTCTTCTTAGTAAAGAAAGAGAGGATTTAGGGATCAGAATTTTGAGGCTACGAAATGAAAGCCTTTTGATTAAATGGCTATATATATACACTGAGGAAGATGTAGCACTCTGGAAGGAGGTTATTGTAGCAAAATATGGAGAACTAAATCCTTGGTGTACATAAATCACTTCCAAACCATATGGAGACGGGGTATGGAGAACAATCAGGAACCTACAAATCAAAGGAAACATGTATATTAAGGTGGGTAATGGAAACAAAATTAAATTTTGGAAAGATGGTTGGATAGACCAAACTTCTCTCAAAGAACTTTTTCCAGATTTGTTTCTAATATGTGAGGACCCTGATGCTAGAGTTAGTAATTGTTGGATAGAATTGGGATGAGACATATTTTTAAGAAGACTACTTTATGACTAGGAGGTGGAGAGGATGACAGCTCTACTGGAACAAATAGTTGGAGTGATTATAACTACAACAACAACAGACAAGATCATGTGGAAACATAGCAAAGATGGAGTCTTCTTAGTCAACAATGCCTACAAAAGAGGAATAATGGGATGATAGGGGCCCAAAATATAATTGGAGCTAATTTTGGGAGATGACATTCCTACAAAAGTAAAGTTTTTCACCTGGTTAGTGATAAAGAGGGCATGTTTAACAGAAGAAATTCTACAAAAGAAAGGCAGAGAACTGGTTCCTAGGTGTTTTTTGTGCAACTTGACAGGGGAAACAAATAGACATCTCTTCCTGCATTCTAAGTTTACTACAAAAATTTGGAACTTGTTTCTCAACATCACAAGCGTGAACTGGACAATGCCAGAACATACATCAGATTTGTTGAGTTGTTGGATTAGAAGGGGAGGCAGTAAGAGTCAAAAGAGAAGGTTGAAACTAATACCATCATGTGTATGATGGTCAGTCTGGAAATAAATAAATGGAAGATGTTTTGAAGATATATCTAATTCCATCCACAAAGTTAAATGGAATTGCACAGTATCTCTATATTTTTGGTATAAACAGCTTGGTATAGATGATATAGACCAGATTATAGATTTGATAGGAAATCTGTATTTATTCCTTTTTGGAGGTAGCCAACATACCTTTAATGCTGAAGAATTCAACCTTACCTGTTTCAAGAAAAACATAATTTAAGTACAAGATAATGATACAATACATAATATAATAATGTTATCACAATAATTTTGCGAGAAAGTTATGTTCATTAATTTACATATTATATAATATTTTCTTGCAATTTATTTCATTTAGAAATTTACAATAAAATATAATTTTATATTAAATAAAAATTTATAAAATATAATTTTATATTACATGAAAATTATATAAAGTTGTTACTTGAAAAAAGGAAGGAAAATATATTATGAAATAAGGAAAAGATCAAGACATGGTGGGAGTCTTTTCCTAGCAATGGAAGCTCTGACTTTGTTTTGATATCCAAATTGAGGGAATTGAAGTATAAACTAAAGGAGTGGATTAAATGACTCAATGGAATGTGGGAATTTAGAAACAGCTTGTGCTGGCACAGTTGGCAGATATGGAGGAAATTTAGGAACATAGAATGTCGCAAGGAGAAGAAGTAATATCTAGAATGATGTTCATAATGAATTTGAAGAAATTGCAAAGAAAGAGGAGATAACTTGGAGACAAAAGTCCAGGGTAACATGGATTAAGGATGGAGATAGAAACACCAATTTTATTCGCAAAACTGCAAATGCAAATAGAAGGGCAAATACAATAGACAGGTTAAAAGTGGGGGAAGTGATGAAGGAGGAGCCATAGGAAATCAAAAAGGAAATAGTGGACTTCTATGAGAACTTGTACGCAGAAACAGAGAGGTGGAGACCCCAATTAGAAATGGTGAACTGCCCCATCATTAATGCAGAGAATAAGTCCATGTTAGAGGCTCCTTTTGAACTACAAGAGATCCTAGAAAGCATTAAGCCAAGTTATGGGGATAAAGCTCCTTGCCCAGATGGTTATTCAATGGCATTTTTCAAGCGATATTGGGATGTC